ATGTTCTACTTTATTGTTTCTACCATTTGTGACCACTACAAATTTACTATTGGTAAACCATGAACACAAAAAAGGTCAACAAACAAATGAGCACGTTTGAAGTGGTCATGCTCTTAAAAAGTGTTGCTTTCTTAATGTATTATTTCATTTTTTCAAGGGTTCAATTTGACAGGCTTTTTGAGTGCTTAAAACATAATGTGCATTACAATTTATCACTCTTTCCCCCCAAAGTTTGAAAAAGAGACAATATTTAAATGTAGCTAATGAGAGTTCTCCATTATTATTCAAGCTCAATTAGATTGTTGATATTTGTAATTGGTTTTATGGATGAGTTGTTATGACAACCTTCCTTGAAGAGATAGAAACCGTGACTGAAAATCTTGTCCGAGTGGAAAAATGTTTGTCCGTCTTACTGAAATCAAAAATTTTCAAGGCTCCATATTATAGCCTCTAAATCATTCAACATCTGTTACAGAAACCTCCAACTTACAGTTTAAACAGGATGGAGGCGTGCAACGCAATAAATGACATACTGCTATTCAATAATCAACTCTTGTACGAAAGATTATGATACACTTTTTCTTGCTGCAAGCAGCTATAAAAATACGCTGAGCTTGGATTTTCGAAGCCAAATTTTTGAATAGATCTATGGTTCAGGACGGAAAGCGAACTTCGAAAAAGATTTTATTGATTATCCTGTTCAGTATAAGGGGAGTTTGAAGTATTTTGATTTTTTAAAATCCATCCTTCAGTCAGCTTACTATTTTCTTAACTTCATAGGTTTTAAGGTAGCCTTTTGTAAAGGTAATGATTTCTGGGAAAATACATGTGTTCTTAATATACTGAAGAAAATATTGTCTCTATCATTTAGTGCATTGAATAAGGTGCTTGACCACCACTACTTTAGCTAATGATGGTCACTCAGCTTAAGGACAGGTTTGAAAGACAATAAGCTTACATCGAGGATTTGGAATAATACAACGGATTCGCGTTTTTCATGCACATCGTTTCCAAAACAAAATGATCCGTCCAACGTTGAGCACTCGGATCATCAAGTTTAGCAAACATTGGTCAGAATCCAAGCAAACAAGCAACTTTTTGCTAACTTTAGTCCTGTTCATTTGTCTATGCTCACTCTTCGCTTTGATGCTACCGGTCGGACATATACTCAAGAGCCAGTCTATCTTGGTAGTGCTTCATCTCTTTCTAAAAAAAAGAGCCCTCGCTTGTGTACAGTTTTTGCTGGAAGAGGAGCATTTGAAAAGTTTCCTGGTTATGCTAAAGGAGAAGCAGAAAATGAGCTGAAACCAATAAGCTTTCTACGAGAACGACCAATAAAACGGAACAAAA